TTGTATTCAGGTTTGAATAAGATTTCCTTCTATACATTGAATGGTTATTCTATTATCGATGTTAAAATTTAATTATTTTATTTCATCATACTATTCATTATTACAAGTGTTTTAAAATTTTCATCTCAAAAAATCTTGTCTATTATTCTACGAAATTGTCTTCTAAATTGCTTCGTAATGTGAAATATGTATTCAATGTAGTAAATAAAAATTGTCTCTAAGTTATAGAAAGCAGTGAAACAAACAAGTTTTTTTTTTCTAACAGAGAAAAAGAAAAAAACAAGATTAATTTCTGTTTCATTGATTTTAAAGTGCTCTACAAACATACAGATCGACACAAGAATAAATACAGTCGGATTGAATAATAATCATATCCAGAAGTCTATTAATGTATAATATAATCAAAATTAAAAATTCTATTATCGACACTAATATGGCCAAAATACATTGTGTTAAAGAATTTCCGATCATCTCCAAAACAACCTGTAGTTTTTCAAAAAAATTCAAGACTGTCGAAAATATTATAGAATCACTACGAAGCGAGTATCTTATAAATTATTTTTCATTAAACTTTCATCATCAAGAAAATTTAAATGATACATTTTGATACGACCATGTTTGTTATATTTCACTCATGGATTTTTTCGACGATCAGTTTATTTATCTAACAAATAAAGTTCATTGCTCTAAAAATTATTTGTTTTTTTTAATAATTATCGAACATCAATCGAACAATTTTCTTCAGTAGGAGACTTCAACAGAGACGTACATTTTTAAATATGGTCATTTTTACTTTTATTTGCGATGCGATGGGAGAAGGGGCGAGTGATAGTCGTCGATTCGCCAAACTGCTAGATCCGTTAGTGTATGCATGAATGAATATCGCTGCATATCAATTATTAGTATCATTGAGCCATATATCTTCAAGTTTTATGCTCTAATAAGTATGAATGGTTTCCATACGAACGTATACACAAATGTAAAAAAGTTAATACAACGTTTCAAGTAATCTCTGTTTTCAATATATAAACGAGTTTTGGAAACTAAACATCAATGCATCGTCTTATTATTCAAGAATAATAAAGGAACTTTTTTTACATCGAAAACGATAGGATAATAAATTTTGCGATGGTGCTATCGCACCAATTATTTGTTACATGTAAAAGTTCTTGCCTGTTTTTTAGAACTATAACATATTCCCTATATTTTCTTGGTATACTTTATCTTCCTGTTCTATTTTTCTATACCATGCAAGAACTCACTATGACCTTGTCTTTACGAAAATGAATTAAATGAACAACTGAAAGTAGTATGGTACATTACTGTACAGTTGAAAAATAAAACATGCGCTTTGATATACTTTTATAGAAGACCTTTATCATCTTCATATGTTAATAATAGTTTCGATTTTGATGGATGAAGAGAAATTATGAAATGTGAAGGAAATTTTTGAGAAAGTACTTTTCTTGTTAGTTCGTTTTATACTTAATTATTTGTTTACATAAAAACATATTTTCATTCATAGGCAAAGTTAGTTTTTCTATTTTTTTACAATTTTCTTTGTTTAGCTTCTTTTTCTACGTAATTGAATAAGATTGTTTCTGTCTTTTGAGTAAACTTCAGTATTAGTGAAAAATAATCAGTGATATTTTAGAAATCACTAATTTCTCGGTTTGTAATTTAAACCATGAAAAATGTCTTCTACACTATCAAGAACGAAAGTTTCATAATGTTTTTTGCCTTTCTTCTCTTTTCAAATCCACAAACACTCATTTTTGTTCTAAAGTTAGTCTACCATAAAAAAAAATTTCAGTCTTTCCGAAGAATCTCTTATTGACTTGGATAGTGCGCGAAAGTTTTCTATCTTTCTGTATATTTCTCTGTTGTGTTGCATTCATTTGTTACAAAAGATAATTTGAACACAGTTAAGGTACCCTTATTTGACAAGCACGAAAACTGTAAATTCTCTATTATTTCATACGCTTGCGTTTAGGTTTATATTTATGCATTGAAAAATAATCCAAGTATTATTTAAATACTCTTCTTGGTAATTAAGAAAAAAATGAATTTTGTAACTGTCCGTTTTTTGTTATTTACTTCGCAAAGTCAGAGTGATAAAAAATGTGAAGCTTTATCAGAAGATATAATTACTTGTTCAAAAATTTATTCTTATGTTGCTAATAAGCGAGAAATGCACAAGAAAGTGATAGGAAAAAATCTAGTTTTTTATGAATCTGAGTGTAGCTGTAACCGAAGAAAAGATCACTACTCATTCACTCTCAACAGATCTCACATTCATATACACACCTACATCAATCTTCAAAGAAATTAGTGAGATCCCAGGCAGGGGTAAAAATGACAAAATGGCATTAAAATGAGGTAAAATTGTACAAAAAATAATGGGGTCAAAAAGTCACAAATAATGCCAAAAAATGCATGTTCTGTGATCCATTATAATGATTATTTTTGACTGTATGAAAATTATTTAACAAGTGACATTATAATCCTTATAACATAAACCATTTTTTTGTCACCGTTTAACATCATTATTATTATTTTTTTAGTGCCATAATAATTGTTCAGTTTATGTCAAAAAAAATCATTTTAATCCAGTCCTGCTGATGTTTTATATAATTATTGTTTTAGGCTCACCCTCAAGACCGATTTTTGACTAATAAAGTTCAACTTTGACCTTCTTTCACATGAATAAGAAATTTAAAAAGATTCTGTCGCGTCCTACAACTAAACACATTCTTTTAGATGAAAAAAACCAAATTGTTCTTCTGAAATGCTATAAAGATTCTAGATTGCCGAATCAACTGTTTCTGTTCATCTGACAATGTAGAACCTTTATAGTATTTCATTAGAACAACTTTTTCGTCTAAAAGAGAGTGTTTAGTTTTAGGACACGACAGAATCTTTTTTAATTTCTCATTTTTCTATGTGAAAAAAGGGAAAGTTGAACTCTATTAGCCAAAAATCGATCTGGAGGGTGTACCTAAAAAAGTAATTATACAAAACGTCAGCACGACTGGACTACAATGTTTTTTGTGACATAAACTGGAAAAAATACATTTATCGACTCCTTCCATTCATGCTCACTCTCACTCTCACTCTCACCCATTAACTGAACAATTATTATGGCATTAAAAAATATAATAATAATGTGAAACGATGATTAAAAAAATGGTTGATGCTATAGGCATTATGCTAGCAAAGTTTTAGTCAGTTCAAAAATAAACCGTAGCTAACTTAGATGAAAAGTAATTTTCCATAGTGCTGAAATTGCTTATATTTCAAATATTGCACCTTCTCTGATAAACAATACGCGACTCAGCCGTATTAGAATATAATTAATCGTTGTCGACCCTTCATTACATCTCTTGTTCTCTTACATATGATGTGGAAAAAAAAGTAATATATAACAGATAATTCAAACGCATGAACACTTAGTTACTGTGAAAAACGAAACCGAAAAATTGAAGCTAAAGTTGTCCCTACAAAATACACTCATAATCTATTGATCATCTCATTTGGCTAGTGTAAAGCAAGACGTCTTCGTACTTATAAATATTGTAGAATTGGCACATAAAGTGGACACGAAAGTTTCTAAAAATCTACTCGTGATAATGGGAATTTATTAACAGATACACGACACTTCTCATACTCAGCTAGTGAACTATATGATGTCAACGTTTTATGTCAAAAAAAATTCAATTGGTTGGATTCTAGAAAAATTTGAATATGTAGCACTTTGATTATTTTTCATTTGAGCTAGCCGTGTTTAATTTAAGTTTCAGTAAGAAAACGATCTCAAGTGAAATAATTTTCTTTACATGTAAGAGACAGCGATAGATATATGGATCAGAAGAGAATTTGCAAGGAAGTCTGCAGAAATTCGAAAGAATAGTCAGAAAAAAAGATCGGCCGATGTCTGTCTGAGACATAGTTAAGATAAGAATTCAAGTCATTTGAAAATCAAAGAAACAGTTATACATGAAAATTTTATGTATTAAATTTCAGAATAGTAATGTGAAATGTTATAAAAAATTTTTTTAGTTGTTTTAAGCATGAGAAGGATACATAACGTCCTTCTAACATATGGAAAGAAATAAATGAATTCCATGTTACTCATTCTTATATATTTGATCGATTCTTTCTTTCGAGACAAAGACTAAAGGCAACCAATAGGAATGAACCAATTATAAAACATCGAGTATGGAGGGTGCTGATAACAATGGAAGTGATTTCGTAAGAAAGAAATAACTTAGGCCCCGAACAGACTGACTAATTCAAAGTGAATTAAGGAACACGATTGGCCTTTTTCCATAGCAACGCGAATTGTATTGGTTAATTCAGTTTTATCGTGTTCAGTCTGTTCGGGGCCTTAGATATCTATAACATCTAATAAGTTTTTTTATTGGTACAAATGTAATTCTATAATTTAAAGGTTACTATTTTTCAGTATAAATGGGTTGCAAAATAAAAATGATATCTTTCGCATTTGTATGAAAAAGAAAATTATTCAGATAGAAATCATGATTATCTATCTTTAACTGGTGTATATGTTATTCTATAGTCATTGTTTTAAATGCAATCGTCCAATGAAGAAATTGATAACTGAAGAAAAGTAGGCATGCGATTTATTTTAATTGTCTTTCTTTGGTCGAACAGCGTATATACATTCTATTGTATAAAGACGATATTTATCACATAGATACAATTACGAATAAATCATCGTGCCTGGATAAATAAATAGAATCACTATGTATGTAATCACTCTCTCCAGGTCGCACTCGCACTTTCTCTAGGTATTATTTCTTTCTTTTATGTAGTGATATATATGTTTGTCATCACATATAATTGTCCTTTGTTTTCTTCTCTATATATAATCGATGCGTTGTTTAAACACATCATTCAGTTTCTTATTAAACATCTATAACACATACATTATCGTTATCTTTTTAATTTTTCATCGTTAAATTTACATAATTTTCATCATGGCTCCAAAACGTAAAAATATTTCCGAAACAAGTTCTTCGAAAACAACAACACAACAACGTCGATGTAGTCAGCGAGCTATTGGTTTGACGTCAAATAATGGTACAAATAAGTCTGTTGTGTTAACACAACAAAAAAAACAATCTCGATCGAAACGACGACAAAATAAAAAATACCACAATAGTGAAAAGCAATTTGACGTAATTGAAGAAGGTGAGATATCAGTCCTTGTTTTTTATGAAGATCTATGAGACATACTTGTAGATACATCAACAGAAAATTCAAAATCAATGAACATCGATTCTAACGATGTTGATTCAGGTGATCAAGACTCATCAGGTTCTAATTCTTGTTCGAATACAAGTAATGCTGATGGACAAGTTAAGGAGCCATCAAGTATTCAACTTGATATTGGTGATGATGACGATGATACACATGAATTTCAAGCTATGTTTATGTCTAATGCAACATTATCTAAAAGTCATCCAAATTCTAGTTCAACACCATTAGTTCGATCTCGACAAGATAAACCGTACGTCTTATATTCTGTTTCAAAATGTTTTTCTATAGAATGACAATTTTTCTCTGCGAGAACTATTAAATACACATCTGATTCAACTTTTTTGTGATCAAATAAAAATTTTGTTGGCTCTCCGTTTCTTTTAAAGTAGAAAATATTCATTTGAGATGAAAGACAACATATACTTTTTATAATAAAAAGGTACCAAAAGATTTTCATATTAAACAACAGCAACTTTTATTTTCTTTAACGTCAACAAATGTGTTATACCTTATTTCGTCTTCGAAAAGAATTAGTAATTAAAAAAAATGTTTTTTGCATAGTTTGACCAATTTATTTTTACGTATAAATGAATCTTCCATATCTGAAATTTAGATCTGCAGTACGTGCAACTACCGAGTCTACCTCATCACATCAAACAAAAAAACCAACACATCGTCGTCCATTATCAACAACCAATATTGATCATCAACCAACAACGACAAATTTAAATGTACAAAATCTTAATACACCTACGAATCTACGTATTAGTACAAATTCATCACCAGCAACTCAAGTATCAATTAGAAATCAATCTTTATCTAGCATCAATTACACAACCAATAATAATGCTATATTAGAAACATTTGTAGAATATCGAAATTTACGACGTGATTTACAACGTGCAGAGCAAAAAATTGAAAATTGGAAAGCTGATTATGATGCATTGCAACATCAATTACAAAAACTTCAAAATAATTCATTTCGTATGTATTTTCTTTATCACACTATCTCTTTTGTTACATTGCTTCTTTTAGCTCGTCCAAATGTTGATGGTCGGGCGTTTTTGGAACAGTTGCTTGAATCATTGAATTCATGTGAACAAGATAAAGATAATCGTACATCAGCAGAAATAGCTAAAGCTATTAGAATACCAGAAATAGTTCTACTGTCGTGTTCTGCTGTTGATCCACAAAAAACAGCTTTGCACGTGTTTAATGCTCTTTTTCCCGGTAATGATAAGAAGGAAGCATTAATCAATGTTGACAATTTGAACGTGAATTATCCAAATTTACTAAAAGATATAGTGGGTAAGTTATCTGTAGTAAACATTTCATTTATCCATTGTTTGGATGTTGAAAGAGAAGATTATAGAAATTTATTTCGAGCATTCAAAAATCGATTTCAGATGCTTTTACTACACACTAAGATAAAATGTGTCGCATGTGTCGCACTTTGCGACACAATGTACGACACATTAATATGCGACACGAGGAGCTCGTTGCGACACATTTCTTCCAGCGGACGTGCGACACATTCTTGTGCGACACATGCGACACATTTTTACCACGTGGTTCGAATCCATTTTTCGGCACGAGGATTATTTTTTTTTGAAAATTCGAATAGTTACTATTTTTTCAGTTAATTTCAAACAGTAGCATCTATTCTTGGAGTTCGAGACGGTAGATCTTAAGATCTAGCTGCCTCGAGACCATTTGATCTGGATCAGACTACTTCGAGGCAGTCCATTCTCGATCATCTAGCGACCTCTCGACATGTTCTCGAATAACAAATGGTCGAGAAATAATCTAGAAAAAAAAGACATACGAAAATGTATAAGTCAAGTACGTCCAATAGGCTCGGTTATATGCAGCTGCACTCGTGAAACAAATCGGTGAATGAACGATTGACATATAGGCTATGACACATCTATAAAGCGACACATTTTTGTACGACACATTTTTGTAATGGAGTCTGCGACACATTCTTGTACGACACATTTTTGTAATGGAGTCTGCGACACATTCTTGTACGACACATATATACGACACATTTTATTTTAGTGTGTATAGAAATAAATATATAAATCCATCATTTTTAATTTTTCAGGAACTAATTTATACTTTTTTGCTTTAGTGTGGTCAAGAAGATGTACACCTGGTTGTGTTTATTCCATGTCTCAGTTGAGAGATGCTATTGGAAATTCAATCAGATGTGCTCGATACAAGGTAAAGATGGGCAGAGTTCAATTTGCTGTAGCAGCAGCTGTCAACCAGTTCGGACCAGCTCATGTGGATGATGATATGGAAATAATACCGCAAGAGGATGATGGCTTTTAAAGGTAATTTTAATTACTTTTTCTTGATTCACGTTATTCTATTTAATTTTCTAAGAAATTATGTCATGAACTTCAAGGTTATAAATATTTTTTTGTAATTTTGTTAATCACATATTGTGGTGTTTTTCTAAATTTTCTTCGTAAAATTACTCGATTGATCTTTTTACTTCAACAGTTCGTTTTGATATTTATTTTCTATATTAGTCTTAATTTATTTGTTGCTATATAGTCGTCATCTAATAGCTCTTTTTGTTCTTTGTATAAATCTCTTATACAATTGTAAAGATATTTTTGTTTTTTTTTATGCTGTTATATTTGTATATTTTTGTATGTGTTATTGAAACTGATTCAAACAACATAGATGAATTAATCATGAAATAAATAAATATATTATGAACGGAAAATTTATTTTTGTTTATTCATAAGTATTTATTAAAGAAACACTGTTATGGGTTGCCATTTAATTATAAATAGATGGTAGCATCTTAGAAATATTAATAGATTCATTCCTTAGTGTAGTTAAAAGATCTATTTTTCATTTATTAAGTTTTTTTTCATTATCTAAGACCAAAAATTGTATACCATTTCTATCATTTGAATACAAATCAGACTTCAGTTCCAGACAAAATCTAAGTTCTATTTTTTTTATTGAAGTTTACGCGATTCTCTTCGCTCATTCGATATATTAGATATTAATTGAATTATAACTGATAATTTGAATCGAATAATGTCTTATACAAGAAAAAGAACATCACGTTCAAAACAACGTTTATTAGATTCACATCGTCGGCAATCAACTTTACATGCTCTAATTGATGTTTTTAAGTGAGTTTATTGAATTCAATCGATGTCACTTTAGGATGTCTTTCTAATATTAGTTATGCCGGTGCTAATATTTCGCCACCTATATCATCCTTATCATTATCTACCACAAACGATATTCCATCTTCATCTTCTTTATTACTTCCACCAACATCACAAGTTCAACCTAATGATTCACCACATAAAAGCTGCTATTTTTCTTCTTTTGCTTCTCTTTCTACTTCATCATCATCATCTTCTTTATCAACCTTATCAGATTGTTCTGACAAGTCAGATAATGATTCTTGTTGTTCGATTAACAATGAAATTTTGAAATCAACTAATATAGAAAGTTCAAAAAACACTTACACAGAATTATTTACAGATGACGATCTACAAAATCGTTCAGAACCTCTCACTTCCAAAGAAATAGCTGTTTTACTTGTTCAATTACGTTGTCGACATGCCTTAACAAAAGCATGTATCACACATATATGTCAACTTTTACAAGTGTTAAAAGTTCCAAACGCTCCATCCAGTTTTGATAGTATTGAATCTCAAGTACTTTCTACTTATCGATCAACTATTTTTCCAACACAAAGTACTATATGTCCTTCCTGCCATCAAAGGTCTTCCAATTCAAAGAGATGTACAAATCTAAATGATTGTGTATCAAAACAGTCGTTTATTCGTTCACCAACTACAAATTACACATTTGCAATTGAACCACAAGTACGATCAATACTTGAAAGAAATCAAATATTTCCGAAACTGCATCATCATTCAATTTCGGATATAACTGATGGACATTTTTATAAAAAATTACTTAGAAAAGAATCAGAACCATTTGTGACACTCTTGATGAATTCTGATGGAGGTTTAATTAAAACTATTTCGAAGTCAATATGGTGTACAACTTTCGTAATCAATGAATTGCCTAGAGGAATACGATTTCTTCCAGAAAATACAATCATTGGAATGGTTTCTACAGGAAGCATGAAACCAAAAAAAGACGAAATGTTATCAATGATGAATGATCTTGTAAATGAACTTCATAAATTGGAAGATGGAGTTTCAGTATTATTGCCATCAAATGATTCAAATAATCTCGAACAAGTTGTTAGAATATTCTTAATTGATTGTGTTTGTGATAAACCTGCAACATCTCTCGTCCTCAATCATACCGAATGTACCGGTTTTTTTGGATGTATTTATTGTACTATGAGAGGTAATATTATAGACAAACTAGAAAAAGAGGTCACCGATTTGATAGAGATGATAGCATTCTTGTAAATTTTGCATATGAAAGAGAACAGATAATCATAAAATTCCCTTTGCAATTCTTTTTATTTAATCAAATATTATTTTATTCTCCCATTTCATTCATTCTTTTCGTTTAACTTTTACCAATTCCAGGTAAATCGGTAGAAGTAAAAAATACAACTATTCGTTCATTTGTTCATGATCCAAATGAAAAAGTTATATTACGATCCAACAAAACCTATGACAATGCAATTAAATTTATTAATAATGTAAATTGAATTTTATAATTGATTATTCTTAAAAAGCATGTATTTAGGGTTACAAATTAACTAATTCAAATAGGGCCTTGTCGAAATTAGCATCTAAAGAATATTTACAAGGTGTTAGAGGACCATGTTTACTTCGACAATTAAAATATTTCAATATTTACAATTCTTTTCTTTGTGATACACTACTTAATCTGTATTCAGGAGTTATGGTAACCTTGTTTTCGTCATTCCTTTAGAAATTATTACTATTTTATATATAGGGAAAAATGTTGAAACTATTTCTGTCGAAACAATCTATCACCGAAGGGACATCAAATGCTATGAGTGTGTACGATCGAATAGATAATATTGCTGAAATTGTTAATTCAATTTCATATCCATCAACAACGTACAGGCAGCCAAGAGATATTCGTTTATTTAAAAAGTTCAAAGCGAACGAGTTGCGAATTATTTTGCTATTTGGATATTCGTAAGTGCACAACTTTTCAAATATATTTCATCTTTTAAATCTCATTTAGAGCGTTTGAAAATTTTCTTGATGAAGAACGTTTTATTCATCTAAAAGTATTAGCTTTTATAGCACATCTAGTTGAAGGAGAATGTCTGTCTAGCAATGCTCATAATGATATAGAATTTTTAGGGAGGTACTTCGATGAAAAATTCGCATCTCTTTATACGGTGAGCAATATGTTTCATTTTGTTTCTTTAAGTATTTTTCTCGATGTAGGAGAGACACTTTGTGTCTGTGATTCATTCAATTCGTCATTTTCATTCATGTGTTCGAGATTATGGCCCGATGTTTAATTACTCCACATTTTCTTTCGAATCTACAATGGGTTTGTTTTTTATCCTTTCTTTCCATTATAATTTTGGATATATGAGTAGCATCGTTTGCTCGAACTATACATGGTGGATCAACACCAACACGTGAATTGATTAAAAATATCGATTTATATCGTCAATCATCTATGTATGTTTCATCCACATAATTTCCTGCATCAGGAAGAGAATATATCGGTCGAATATTTTCTTCACCACGTGAAATTACCTTTAATTATCGAGACGATTTACATAATATAAAATTACATCAAGAAATCACATCACCACCATCTAGTTTCTTTCAAAAATGGCCAAATTCGTCTGAATCTAATTTTTTATTTTACAAAACTTTATTTTTTGATAATTTACGGTTCAGTGCCGATGATTTTACAATACTCCGACGTTCTAATGATTCGTGTATCTTGTATAAAACAAAAAGAAGTTCTTATTCAATTGGTTTTATGTCATATATCGTTCATATTATTGATAGAGATGAAATCTGTCTAGTTTTAAATAAAGTTAAAATTACTTCAACAGCTGACACTCTCAACATCGATGGAAGAAATTTTATGTGCAATAATATTTTAAAAGGTAATGTCGTATCTGATTCTACAGTTACTATTCAACCATCTCAAATTTCAAAAAAAGTTGCTTTTCGACCAATATTCAATGAAGATCCATCACTATTACATACTTTTATCTTTTATCAATATCCTAATTTGAAAGAATGTACTTAAACTTATATTATGATAAAAAATAAACATTTAAAATTAGGTACTCATATTATCACATAATTTCTATAAATTCAAGGTAGTTTTTGAATCAGCTTGAAAACTAAATAAATAGAGTCAGTTCATAATAAATGGTCAAAATGTTTGTTTTATAGATCAAAAATGCATTTTAATGACCATTTTTTCATTGTTCGCTAGAAAAAGTGCATGATAATGGTCAAAATGATTCAGCAATGGAAAAATGGTCATTAAAATGACCATTTTCCCATTATTCACTTGACAGGGATATCGCTCAAACATTTTTTGAAAAGCACTTCTGACTTGAGCTTGGTATTCTTTTAAAATATCAGTCTTTGTTCAGAAGCATTCAAATCATGTGACATAGGATGTATGTGTGACACATCCAAACTCATTCTAGAAGATATTTTATCATTTTACAAATGTGAGTTATGAGTAGGTATAATGTTCATTGAATTTCTGATGACAACATTCGAAAGCTTGATTCGAAAATACAATAATTTTGAAATTTTTCAATTGGATATTCAATTGAATAAATGTTTTTATCCTATTTGTCCTTCAGCATAAATCGTCAATTTACACAGATCAGTGTATGACTTATCGACAAACATATTTTCGTTAGACCCATTTCTAAATTGATCTGAAAGTTGCAGTAATATTAAGTGATCGATGTGAAGCACGCAAAATATATGGCGTATAATGCAGGTTCATTTCGCTATTCTAATCCTACGTTTCCTATTTTTACATCAAATCTTCAAGCTTTTACTATTTAAAAGAAACTAAGATTACTATAGAATACATTTGAAGTTACAATTCCGAGCTAATCATTCGATTTTTTTCATTTTCAGATTAGACTTTTTTTCATTTTTACTCTGAATAGATAAAGTTTTTAAGCATCAACAACACAATATGTTTATATTTTTTCCTAAAATGAGTATCCATTGTTATTATGAGTATTTAGCTTTCAAATCATATCTCTTTAAATGTCTAAGTTTAACTGACAACATACGCAACCTTAGTTGGAAGTATCGAAAATTGTTGAAATACTCTTCATTGATAGATTTTCGTTGATAACTACTAATAAGAACTAATGAATACAATCCATTTCACGTTGAACAGTCACATATAATATCATAAAGATACAAAAACCAAGTCACTTTCTTGGATACGTTACTGACATACTGAGTTGTAACGAACCATGAGTGATATCTTGAAAAAACGATATTACGACAATAAATACCCATAACATAGGAGTGGATATATAAGCTTTTCTCATTATTAACTGCATTGGTGACAATCTATGCTTTCGATGTAAAACGATCGGATATCAGTTCAATCACTAAAAGTGATACTTTTAGGCGCAAAAAGATGTTCGAACAATTTTTCATGTCTTACTGCACCCATTTATTGCTTGTTTAAGTTTCTCATTATAAAGTAATATTTCTTGACTCGAACATGTATTTTACAGCTGCTTAATTTTCAAGATTTGGAAGAGATGAATTATCTCTGTTTGGTACTTTGGTTTTCTCTTTTTTTTCTGGTTATCTATTGATTTTATACAAAAACTAAACTTTCAAACAGACGGTTCTACATAATATTTAAAAGGTATATCAGACTAAATTGATTGATTTCCTCCTCTTCAAAAGCATGAACATATTAAAAAAAACTCAAAACAATCCATAATTTTATTCTAGTTTCATATGTCGCTACATATGTTGTATGATTTATCGTTTGAACATAAGATTCGGCTACTGATGAGAAAAATGAGTTATAGAATGTGCAGCTTTGTATAACTTTTCAAAATCTATGAGATGAGCGATTTTTGAACAAATGAGACCTAGTTAACTTTTAGTGAGATGCGAAGTTCTTATTTGAGAGATACTAAGACACATGTAGTATCAATCCATCCACACACAAGCTGACAATACGTAGCACATATTGAAAGAACCGCATGAAATTTTTTTGCTTTGTTTTTTGACAACATTCGATCGATATATCTTATCAGAAGTACTCATTCGATAATTGCTTTGATACAAACTCCATCTTCAGCATTTATAATGTTATGAACCGAATATGACTGGCAATAATGAAAATTCAATGATAAAAACCCGTAGGAAAGAGGAAGAAATGTACAGAACAATAGTGGCTTTCATTCTATCTATAGTGAAAAATTTGTCGAGGGTGGCAGATAGGCCATCTTATGCGGAGTGTGAATGTAGGAATGGGTGTAGATCTTATTTCTAACCACAATCACATTCATACTCATCTCTACACCATCTAGGTGTTTTTTAGACAAGAAAATACTAAATATCTTTTCTTCTTAGAATCGCACTGCTGAAATCTACAAGCACTCTTTCATTCTATAATAGCAGAGTTTAATTTAAAAAGGAATCTGTTATATCCTGCACCTTGACATTCTTTTAGACTAAAAAGGCACCTGTTGACTACAGTAAGACTCCTTTATGAATTCAGGGATGTGCGATCAAAGAAGCACAGCAACTGAGAGAGCGCAAAAAAAATTTTTCATTTTATCTAAAATACCATATACTTCAAGCAGAATATGACGGAAATTTTGGAAAAAAAACAAAGTATCTAATAAAAAGTCATGTGATTCTTGAGAAAAAAGTCAGATCTCATAGTGTCGCTCTATGGATTTCGCTCAATTTTCACACTTTTAACGAAAATGGACTGTGGTGAGGGAGGCTTCAAAAATATTTAAAGATATAACGGTTTAAAATGATTCTATTGCATTTAAGAAGTTCGTCCAACGACTTCATGTTCTGCCAAGATAAGATCTATGTGTATATCTCGTTATTTCATAAGCCGCAGGCCATTTTGAGTATCAAAGATTCACTACAAACAACGGACATTATTATTCAGAAAGTGAGTTATTAGATATTTTACGGTGAATCATTTTCCCTCGTTTTCTTTCGGAGTCTAAAACTAAGAAAGGTTTAAATGTGATTTTTCGACATGTTCAAGATAAAAAGATAATGAAAAAATGTGAAAAACAAATCAGATAAAACTTATATATTTGAGTATTTTTATTAATGATATATCATTTTAAGAAAGATATAAGTTGAGTATAACGAATTTTGAATGAAACGTTATATGTTAAGTTTAAGCATGAAACTTCTACGTCTGTTTGGCTTTGTATATTTGAAGAAAAAACAAAATCAAATTAAACCCGAATCCTATGCATTGTAGTATTATTGAAAGTTAATTATGATATTTACTTATACCTATCCCTTTCTTCTTCGTCTTTGTCGACATAAATAGAAAAACGAAAAAACGTTCCATTGCTTTACATATATCTTTGATTTCGATGAAAGCACTATCAATCTACAGAAGAACTCATATTCAGTCAATTGTTTTCGGTAATCGATCTGCCAACTATATTAATTCTTAACTGACTAAATGAAAAATGATGCAATTAATTTCCAAAAATATGTCAAGCAATGCATTAATAGAAATGCAAATATGACAAACAAAGAATCAATAACAACATACTATAAGCGAAAGAGAAAAGTACTCAAACAAATGAAAAAATTAAGAGAAGCAATATGCAGGTGAACTCAATAAAACTGAAGAGAAAAAAAGGCAAAATATACATTCGAACCGGGTAAAAAAAACGATTGGGCTACTAGAAAAATAACGTTTCCAAAATTGCAAATAGTTCATATAATGAAGTATTCTGATTAGACGAAGATCCATGACAACTTAAAGCAAGTTATCATCGATTAGTTCCGCCTAAGCAAAATCAGTGAATGCAAAAGAGACACGATTAAAATGAGAGTATCTTGACATTTAAGAGAGAAGGCAAACATATCCTAATCTAATTTAATCAATTATATTTCGTTCTCACGATTTCTTCATTGTACAATCTGGAAAACTAAGAAAAACTTAATTTCATCCTCAAATAAATCAGTAACAGATCTGTCATTAGATGCGAATAATTAAAAAAAACGCATCTTAAAAAAAAACTTCTGTAATCACACATGTATTAGAGACGATAGCTATGCTACGTCATCAATAGATTAGAATCGAATTGAAAATTTTGAGAAAAATAAGATATAGAAGGAGTTCAACCTAAACATCATCGAAACGGTCATCAACTCGCACATATAAAAGAAATAAAGCAGTTCGATGTCTTTAAGAATATTGTATTGTTTTAATGGTTGTTAAAAATTGACTTGTCATCCTTCTCAAAAGATATATTTGAACAAACCTTCAGAGAAAAACTCATTAAAAGAAAGAGAAATAATCAATGTTTGTTGCAAGTTGTAAAATATGTTCACGAAAGTATGCACAAAAATATGTTTTTCTTAAACAATCTTTCAGCATGAATGTTATTTCTTTCTTTGAAAGCATTAAAATTCATAGAATTTACCTTGCAAACTGATAAAAACGCTTAAATCTAGACAAATTTTAACAGGTTTTCATAGAGATCTTTATCAACTAAGTAGATTTATAGGTGATTGGTCATTCAGAATTGTAAATTCTTTGGAGAGAAATTCAAAAGCTTATTTCTGGACCTTATTCAGAAAATTGACAAATTAGGTCGGATCTTTCGTATAGTAGAGGCTGTCCGATGCTTTTCCAAGTATTCTAAAAAATTTTATTCAATTTATTTTTTGAGGTATCTGTTCAAAATCCACATACGAGAACCGAGTCTAGAATTTTCATTATTTAGAAGTAGAATTGTAAGTAAGGATAAAAGTGGCAACTAATTAACTCTAAACTGCCAAATCTTGTCAACATTTCGTCAAAATATCATAAATAGCACACATACTTGGAAAAAAGAATTGTTTTTTCTAAATGTTCTAAGATGCAACCAATACGTTTGCAAGAGCAAGAATATTTGATCTTCGAAACACAAAACACTAATCCTGTATAGAGTCTTGATATGAAAATTTAAGAATTCAGAAAAGATCTTTAAGATCTTGGATAATTTCTTTTTAAAAATCACGATTGCATGCGATTACTAG